TATTTTTATCCTTATGCAAGCACGAAAAACTATACTGGGGTTAGTGTTTATAAAAACTTGCTTCGTGATATCTTCATCTTTATTGATTTTTATTTGTTTTTTTTAAAAAAAAAAAAAAAATTATAGGCAGTATATGGACGTTCATTTGATTCATTACAATGGCTTCCATTCGAATTAAATTTTAAAATTTGGAAAACTGTTGTAAGTTCCCATGAATAAGTTAAAGCTATATATTTATAGAAAAAGAGAATGAATTAACTGAATTGAGCATGTAACGTTTATAAGGATTCAGTTGCGACACTGTGGTCTGACGTTGGGCTGTTACCCGTAAGAACTTATACATTTATATTCCAGAACAATTTTTTGCATGATTTCTCAACATAAATTACCGTTTCGGGGTTTCATTTTTATAGATATATAATCAAAGATGCCAAGAATTAGGCCTCCCGACGGTAGAAAGGTATAGTATTACTATTTCTTAATATAATAATTACACATAAATTTAAATTTGAAATCTCTATTAATAATTTAGACTTCCGTGGCTGCCTGGCGGTGCTATAGAAACAGAACAAATTCCAGTTATACACGCCTCAAGTAAATACCTTATTAATATACCACCGAATCCGTATGTTTTCTGTAATCACTTTACCATGTTTAATAATTAGTCTAAAGCTTCCACCAATAGTTAACTCTATCTTATTTGTGTTATTATCCACAGCAAAAATCCTAGGGAGAAGCAGTTTGACTATCCATTTCTCAGTATCAAGGAGGAACTAAAGGATTTTGAACCACCACAAGATTTGGTACTTATAAAGAAATTTTCACTCGGAAAATTTGTCAGGATTTAATATTTTTTTATTGCTTTTTTAAAAAAAGGTTGATTTTCTGAGCAAGGGACGGAAGCCAATATATTTTGGCTATGGATCTATGCATAGTTTCAGTGACGAGGAAGGTCGAGTTTGTTTATGGCTTGATGTTATGAAAAAGCTTCCAAGTAATCAACGCGCTATATTTGCCGGAGTGTCCCGGTATTTATATTATTATTGTTGTTACTCTAAAGTGTCATCATTTTGCAATTATCTGAAACTAAAAACACCTTCTCTTCAGTGTAAAAAATGATGAATTGACCGAAAGCATACAAAATAAAAAAATATATGTCGTTAGTCATATCCCACATTCATGGTTGTTCCCCAAAGTTGCATGTGTTGTTCATCATGGTGGCGCAGGAACGACACACGCAGTAGCTAGAGCAGGAGTTCCGTCGATTGTGGTATATATTTTTCATAAACCTTTTTTCCAAAAGAGATCATTTGTTAAATAGCATCCTCAAATAGATACCACACTTTGCCGACCAACCATGGTGGGCTTCCCTATTGTACCGACATGGTCTCACGGTAAATTCTGGAATCTCAGCAAAATCGGTTACTGCAGATAAATTATATCATGCCTTATTGGATTTGCTGACCGATAGTGAGGTAATAGATAAAGCATCCGTGTTTGGTGCACGGATCAGGAAAGATCAAAGACGAGATCCGGTTACAAAGATCGTAAAATATATCGAAAGCTATTGGGATAGCTTGAATTGGGACACCCTTTCTTTGGAAGACGAACAAAGTTATGCAAGTTCAGAAAGTTTATGATTAGCATCCTTTCCTACAAGTTGGTAGCCTGGACGCTAACTACTTGTTAATTCATATTATCTATTGTTCATATTTTAGATGAAACATTGTGTGATTAACCTGGCGTTATGTTTTTTAAAAAGTTTATATAGGGGATTATGTAATTTTCAGAAATTGTAAGATAATGTTTAAGGTATTTTTATATTGTAACTTTTCCAATCAATGTAATTTGTTCAAAACTTTACCTTTTTTCCATAATTTTTTTTTTTATTAAATAAATTTTTATTAAAGTTCTGGTGGAAATGAACAAAGCGAGGTAATTAACACCGCGCTGTTCACATAAGACCATCGTTGTATATAGATTTTGTATTTAGAAGGAACTTAACATTTATACCTTTATTCACTGGCATATAACACTTTTTCAGGACTTGAATTTATATTATTATTAATTATTATATACATTGTATACTTTATAATTTAAATATTAATTTTATTAATATTTATTTACTTTAATTATACAAATAAAAATTGTTTTGAATTATATTTTTTATGTAAAATTATTTGTGTAGTGTGTAATTTTTTTAAAAAAAATTTTAATTTATTATTATTCAAATGTAATCAAATTTAAATATAATTAAAAATTTTGTTAATAATAATTATTTTATTATTAAAATAAATTGAAGCAAAAAAAGAACAAATTGAATCAATGAATTTTGAATTGTTATATTATAAATATATTTATTTTTATTTATTTATTTTAATAAAATTAATTTAAATAATTTATTATATTTTTGAAATAAAAAATATTATTACAGAGAGACCTCCTTAAATGCACCCTCTATAAATGCACTTACTATATTTTCTCTCTCTAAATGTACAGTCAAGCTTGGTCCCAAGTATATAGAACTCTTAATAAAATTACCTCCATAAATGCATACCCTCTATAAATGCACATTTTTCAAAAATTTTCCTATGGTCCCGAGAGATGTGCATTTAGAGAGGGTTCACTGTATTATTATTATTACTACAAAAAATTACAATATAAAAATTATTTGTTTATTGTTTTTAAATTAAAAAATAATGTATATTTGATTTAAAAAATTAAATTATAATATATTATTAAAGTTAATAATATTTTTTTATTTTTTTACAATATATATTGTGAAACAAAAATAATTGAAAAAAATCAAAACTTATATTTTTATTAATAATTTAATAATTAATTAATTAATTAATAAAAATAGACATATATATTTAGAAATATAAAGAATAGAAATATATAAAAAAGTTTTTAAATATATTAAAATAATAATTAAATTATAATTAAAGAAATAATAATTTAAAATTTTTTATCAATTACAAAAAAAAATATTATTAATTAGATCTGTGGATCAATAGTATAATAATCAATACTCTCAGGTTCAGATCATAAGATACTAATTTAACTTCAAATAAAGACAATTAAATAGTATTAATATGGTATCTAATATCATAATTTATTAAGCACTATTTCTCATAAGGAGCTATTTTACACATTGATCCAGTAGATATTAAAATTATAATTCTTTCAAAAAAAGTATAGTAATGTGATAATTATCTGATTGGTATTAAAAACAATTGGAAATTTTTATATTTGGATATACAAACTAGATTATATTTTATCTTAACTAACCCTTATTAGTTTCTATAATAACAATACTTTTGAATATATAGATTGGACTGTACTCTATTTTAATAAAAACTTATAATATTTTTCAATAATGATTTGAGTCTTAACTTGAGTTACAGTATTCCAATCTGATATAAAGCTTAAATAATTATATCAGTTGCAGGTGATAACAAGGATTATGACTTGTATAAACTCAGAATTGATATAAGTTATGGTCTAAGATTCAAGTAATAAGGTGAAAGAGATACTTAAATCAACTTATCTAATCAAGATTTTTCAAAGACAAGTTATTTAATCAATAGGATTGATAGTTTAAAACTAGTGATAAGATTTCTATACTCTATAGGTCCTCTTCTAATATCATTAAGGAAATCATTAAAGGCAATAATTATTTAGTATGATAGGTTTCTGAATATTAGAAGTAAAGTAATATATAAGAGATAATTTATATAGAATATAGAATATATTGGCTTGTATAAGTCTTCAGTTATAATGTAAACTTGATATAAAACACTTATTAATAAAAATAACTATAGCTATTTTTTTTTTCCTAACGTTAATTCAGGAATCTATCATTATCCTTTTTCATGTCTCCCGATATCTCTTCGAGATACATGGACGCTATATAGAAGTTTCTAACTACTCGTCTTAAGCCTAAGCCTCTAAGTATAAACATGGAGATAAATAAATTTGCTATATTTTAAACAAGCTGATATATTCTATCGACTTGATAATTTTTACCAGCAGCTGCCATTACTATTTTTTAACCATTCAGTTTAGCCAAGACTTACTAGAATTAGTTAGTGAGATATTATTGATGAGATGAGAGTATACCAGTATACCAAATCTATTTAGGAATCGAATTCAACCTTACTCTTCCTAATTTAACCTAGCAACACATGTGGGGATTATGTTTTATGGGGTCATGCAGTCAACCATCGCAAGTGTATCCCTTAGGATAGAACATCCCATGATACAAGCAATCTCCTGCACCCCCGACTGGATCCTTGCTACCATTGAACATGTGAAACTTTTACTGATAGTTATGCAACTAATGGTTTTAGCCATTTATACCTTTCTTTCCACTATCGAAAAAATTCCATGAAACTTCTTTCCCTTTTTGAAGGTATTTCCCAGGCAATACTTGATGAGAAAGTTTATTAATCATATCATTTATCTTTTTGACCTATGGGATATAGTCTACCCATAAGGCTCCTTGATCACTGAAACAATCCAAATTGCTCTCTATCACGAGTTACAGAAGCAGTAACACAAAGTCCCTATTTGGGATATGTGAATTGTTTCCAGTTGGAGTTGAATCATGGTTCATAGATTAGTTCTATCCTGTTTTAGTTCACTGAACTATAACTGGGTAGGTCTAATAACTATAGCTATTATACTTAGTATCTTAATATATACAGTATATACAGTATATATATATATTATTAATTATTAAAATTATTTAATTATATAATTTAATTAAATATAAATTAATAAAACTTTAAAATAATTTTTTATAATTTTTATATTAATAAAAAAATTTTTTTTTGATTTAATAATAAGTTACTTACCTTAAGTCAACCAAATTTTCTTTCTTGAAATATTTATTAGAAGATATTGAAGTTATATTTCACTTGATCTATGGTTCTTAATTTTAATAGTCTTTTGAAATATTTATTAGAAAGTATACAGTATATATATTAAATACTTTCTAATTTAAAGTTATATAAGCCAAAAACATAATATAACTTATCAAATAATAATATAAGATCTAAAAAAAACTTTCTAATCTTAAACTACTTAAGTATACTATTTTTTTAAAGATTCAAAATAAATATTAAGATATCTGATTGTTTTACTTATTTTTATAAAATAGATCTATTCTATATATATTGTTATGGGGAAAATGTAATGGGTAAATGATAGGAAATTATAAGGATAGATATATCAGGTATAAGTGATATATCATGTATAAAAGATATATCACATATAAAAAGTATATCTGGTATAAATAATATATCACACAAAAAAAAAAAAAAAAAACTCTTTCCTGATTACCCAGATTCGCCTAAAATCCGCAGTAATCAGCCAGGAGTTCGTCCAAAGGCCCCACCCGCCATGGCAACACACAGCAGCAGCACTCCCAGGAGCAAGGGCTCGCCCGCCTCCACCCAGCAACAGCCCCCAGCGCCCAAAACCCAGCAAAAACAAAAGCAAAAACAGCAGCCAACAGCACCCGAAGCAGGCAGCAGCCAGCCACCATAGAGGAGGGGGTAGAGGCCTCCTTCGACTGGACGGCCGACACTCGTATGGAGACAGAAGAACTACTGCGGGCACCCACCCTGCCCACCTTTGGCGACTCTGATGAGGACCCAACATTTACAGACCCAGAGAGCGAGGCAGAGGACGCCCTGCCCACCCAGCACCAACCACCCAAGCCGGCCAGACACCCCTATAGGCCGCCCATAGATTGGCGCACCCAATACGGCCGTTCCCGCTTCAAAACGGCCATCCAGGTGGAAAACCTGGCTGGCTCAATGGAGGAAAAACTCAATGCAGTCAAAGAAACAGTCTCTCAACTTGACTCCTACATAGGCGCCCGTGTGGCGCAGCAACAGGGGGCAAAATTGATCGTCGTATCATTTGTCAATCAAAAAGATGCACAAAAAGCATGCAAATTACAAATCCAAGAAAATAATGATCACCATATGGCAATTCTAGCCGATCTTGACCTAAAAGAGGCCAAGAGCAAGTCAATCTGTGTCTGGGACATTCTCCTCAATACCAATAAACAAGAGATCAGACAAAAACTCACCCAATTCGAGCAAATTAAGAACCTCAAAATGAATACGGCTGGCATGTGGCAATGCGCACTAGTCAAATTCGCAGAACAGGAAGACTACAACAAAATCAGCAGAAGATGGAGCATCCCATTCAAGGGAGAACTCTTGAGAATATATCCTTTCTTGAAAACATGTGAAACCAAACAAGCACGAGACAAATACACCTTGAGACTCACCAACCTTCCCCCGGAAACCACAGGGTATGACCTGCGTGACATAATCAGTACTACCAAGGCAGCAACCTGTCACATTCCCCATAACCGAAACTATATCAAGAAATGGTTTGCTTTCCTCAGTTTCACAACAGCAGAAGCCAAGATGCAAGCCAAGAATCATGAAGTCTTTCTGGGAGAAACACCCCTCAACTGGCATGAAGTAGAAGAAAAACTTTGCACAATCTGCTGCGCCGCAGACCATCTGGCAGCAAACTGCACAATTAAAGCAAAGCGTCAAGAAAAACAACAAATGCTGAAAGACAAAGCAAGAAGGTACAACTCACTCTACCAAAA